CCCCAGTTCCCGAGTGACACCCCCACCCCCGCCGCTGTATGCCCAGAGGAAGGCAAAAAACCCTCCAGGATCCCTGAGCCAATCGGGCCGGAGGAAGATTCCTTCCTGGCCCCAAATTGGGGACGGGCATAGAAGAAAGGGCCACTGGAGCTGAGCCCGTCCCTTCCTGCCCTCCCAGTCACGATCTGCCCAAATCAGCATTGCTGTCAGGTGGCCACCCAGCCTCTGTTTGAAAACCTCCAGAGAAAGAGAGCCCCCCCCCCACCTCCCGACGCTCTAGCTGTCAGGAAGTTCTTCCTAGTGCTTAGCCGAAAACTCTTCTGATTTAATTTCAACTGATTGGTTTGGTCTGACCTTCTGGGGCAACGGAAAACGACTCCGCCCCGTCCTCTCGATGGCAGCCCTTCCAATACCTGTAACAAGCCACCTTGTAATGTATCCAGCTCAGACCGCGTGGCCTGCTTGGGCTCCACGCGGTCAGGAGCAAACGTCCAGCTTCACTCCAAGAGACAATGGACTATGCGGATCCTAGCCCGCACCAATCAGGGAGCTAGGGTCGCGGCCTATGGAACTCTCGGCCACTGTAAATAACCTATTGGGAAGTGGGGGTGTGTTTTGGGTGGCGGTTTCCAGGGGAATATAAGCTGGCCTGGGAGCCGGCCAAAGGTGTCTTATTCCTGATCGAATAAAGTACGCTTTGCTGAAATCATTCCCCTCTCCGTCTATGTACTTTTCACACCTTTTCCATCCTGTGTCCTTGTGACGGGAGGTGCGGAGGAGAAGCGGGCAGAAGGCTTTTCTCTTCCCTGGCCAAAGACCGCCGGCTTTTGTCACAGCGTTCCATGCAGGGCTTGCCCTGTGTGAGCGACACGTGTCCCTCAGGGCCGTGTGTTTTAGCACTGCGGCTTTATTAAAGCAAAGTGGTGCATGTGGCGGAGTGATCAGGGAAGGAGTGTGCCTGGGCACGTGCAGAGTGCGTTTCCCTTGCCCCAACCAGCTCTTGGATATCCAGGGAGTGGGAAGCTTCTGCTGCCTGGACACGAGAACCGTGAAGTGCTGGAATGTTCTCTGTCAGGAGGGGGGGTCTCCAGCCTCTCGGAGGGTCTTGTTCGCGGGGGGCTTTCCTCTGCCGGCCACTCACACAAAGTGTCATTCTCTTCCAGCTGAAGACGCGGGACGGCTCCGAGTACCTCATCCAGCACGATTCAGAGGGCATCATTGGCACCTGGCAGAAAGCCATTGCGGACATTATTGGCAGACTGGTGAGGGGCCTCGCTCGATGTCAACATCCTGTCGTTGTTTTGTTTCTCTTTGGGAAGGAGATGTCCAGGGAGTCGTTTGGCAACTGTGTCCAGGGCATGTGCAAGGAAGAGGAAAGGAAGCTCTACGTGCTCCCAGGTGGAAGAGAAAGGTCCTGGGGTGGGGGGTGAGAAAGGAGAACTGTTGCGCCTTTCCTGGGTGTGGCTGGCCCCATTCAGGACACGAGGGGAAGTGCCTCAGCTTGCAAAGTCTGGGTGCCAGGGGTCATTTCCTGCGGGAGCACACAGGAGCGGAGCTCCGGCAGTAAGGAGCCCAGGGGGTTGGCACATGCAACAAACCCCGCCCCCTGCTCCCAGAAGCCCTCAGTCGGGCCATGAGGAGCAAGAAGCAGCCAGGTAAGTTGCAGACCCCCCCCCCGCCCGTCTTCAGGTACAAGCTCTCCCTCCTCTGTGAGGGCAGATCTGCGCATTCCCCCCCCCATAGCTAGCAATCCAAAACAGTCTAGTGGCACCTTTAAGACCAAGTTTTATTCAGGCACAAGCTCTCCCTCCTCTGTGAGGGCAGATCTGCGCGTTCCCCACCCCCCCAATAGCTAGCAATCCAAAACAGTCCAGTGGCACCTTTAAGACCAAGTTTTATTCAGGCACAAGCTCTCCCTCCTCTGCGAGGGCAGATCTGCATGTCGTCCCCCCCCCCCTTTTTTTTTCCCCCCCAGCTAGCAATCCAAAACAGTCCAGTGGCACCTTTAAGACCAACTTTTATTCAGGTACAAGCTCTCCCTCCTCTGTGCGGATTTCCATGCCGCCCCCCCCCCCCAATAGCTAGCAATCCAAAACAGTCCAGTGGAGCTTGAGCGGTGGGTGTTGCCTTCTGACACACTTCTGGTGATGTCAGGGCGTGTGGCATATGCAAATAAGATGCTAATAAGTTATACTAATGAGCTCCTGCGCCTCTTTTTCTACGAAATGACCCCTGCTGGGCACTGTTCAAGGGCGGCCAATTGCAGTGAGTTTAGCATTGATTTCCATCACTGCAGGCGGGGGAGAGCCCTTTCCATTGGACTTTCCAGGTGCCAAAATGCCACTGGCCAGCCCTGAGTGGGAATTCTGCGACTCACCGCTGGTTTTCTAATTTTCCTGCAGCTTTGATCAGCTTCTCTGCATTCCTGAATGCCTCCTGGCAGTTCTGTAGCCTTTTACACCTCGTGTGTTTGTGTATGTATCGCTTTGCAGTTTCTATTTTGTAGGCACGTTCCTTCTGACAGGCAACCTGTAAAGGAAGAGGTTTAGTTGCTGTCCAGGCAAAGGAGAAGACGTGCTTTGGATTGGGCTCGCATTATTCAGAGAGTTTCTGTTGGAGACCGGTTGCCATCAGTGTGGGATTTGTCTTCGGGGTATCGCAAGGCTCAGGCGCATTCCCCATGCTGTTCACCCTATCGACATCCGCTAGGACCAGGGCTATTTAGGGGCAGGAACGCACAGGAACGGAGTTCCGGCTGGCTCCCGAGTTGGCCACGCCCAGCAGGAACTCATTAGCATAATAGGCCACACCCAACAGCAGGAACTCATTCGGATTGGCTACAATTAGGGGTGTGTGGCCTAACATGCAAAAAGCCCTGGGTTTTGACAACAAACAAGATAAAACATTCCCCATGCTGTTCACCCTATCGACATCCGCTAGGACCAGGGCTATTTTTGGGCAGGAACGCACAGGAACGGAGTTCCGGCTGGCTCCTGAGTTGGCCACGCCCAGCAGGAACTCATTAGCATAATAGGCCACAGCCAACAGCAGAAACTCATTCGGATTGGCTACAATTAGGGGTGTGTGGCCTAACATGCAAAAAGGCCCTGGGTTTTGACAACAAACAAGGTAAAGAGAATGAGAAGCAAAAGGTGGGTGTGGCTGGATGACCACACTTCTGGTAACATGGGGGTGTGGCCTAATATGCAAAATGAGCTGTGCTGTCAGGGGTGTGGCCTAATATGCTAATGAGTTTCTGCTGTTGGGTATGACCTATTATGCTAATGAGTTCCTGGTGGGCTTTTTCTACAAAAAGAGCCCTGGCTAGGACAAATCATTCGCAGTTTTGGAATTGGGTGTGATCGTTATGCTGATAACACCACCACCACCCCCAGCTCTGTATTTCTTAATCCAAATCACCTGGTGATGCCACAGAGGCCCCGAACCAGCGGGCGGCAGCTGCTGTCAAATGCTTCTGGGGAAACAGGCAGAAACGGAATCCTGACCAGACGGGGGTAACAGTTGGCTGGGAAGGCTGCGGTCCTGAAGGACATGGTGCCCCCCATGTTTGATGGGGTCCCACTGATTAGGGTGCGGTCAGACGTGGTGCACCTGGAGCCCCGTGGATTTAAAGTGCTCGTCCAGACATCCACGCCTGTATCCTGTTCCCCAATCGTCAGCCTCCCGTACTCACCACTCTCCCGTTTGGTGTCGTCATTAAGTCCGCGGATTCTAATCTGGGAGAACCGGGTTTGATTCCCCACTCCTCCACTTGCACCTGCTGGATGACCTTGGGCAAGCCATAGTTCTCTCAGAGCTGTTCTCTCAAGAGCAGTGCTCAAAAGAGCTCTCTCTCTCCCCCGCCTCCCTCACAGGGTGTCTGTTGTGGGGTGGGGAAGGGGAAGGAGATTGTGAGCCACTCTGAGACTCCGAGTGAAGGGCGGGGTATAAATCCAATCTCTTCTTCTTCTCCTGGCGCGTTCTTTTCAGAACCTGGGAAAGTCTGAGGTTTATGGAGTCCCCGATGCAGTTCTGGATGTGTGGACTTTCCCCCATGCAATCAAGCCACTACAGAAGGGAACCGCCCCTTCCATTTCGGCACCATTTCCGCCTGCCACTTAGCATTATGTGCCTAACTGCATAAACGCCCCTGGGTTTTAAATCAACGCCCACGTGCGCCTTCTCTGCAGTACATTTTTGGGATCCAGAGCCTCGGGGGCGGGGGGTTGGTTGTCAGCAGGAAACTCGAGGAACACTGCCCTTTCTCTTGTTTCTGGGGGCTGGACAGCTTTGAAAACAGTCCCTAGTCAGGCCCCATGATTCGAATATGCACTTATGCGCATGTGCAACTGACAAAGCAAAAAAAAAAGCTGCCCGATTGCCCACTCCGTGGTTGATGCTCGGCGATAGTCTGTATGGTCACCATGGGGTGAGTGTGTAGTGAAGCAGGTAACGGGGGAGAAGTCTGAACATTTCTCTCCGGAACACAGAAAACCGGATGAAATTAGAGGTGCGGTCAGAGCTCGGAAAGCACGCTGTCTGACCGCACCCTCAGTTAGGACATTCTGTATCCAGCTTTATTGCTGGAGAGGCAAACAGAGACAGGTGCCAAAAAGGCATTCTGCCAACTCCACTGAGCCCAGAAAATGGCTCCCTACCTTGACTCTGCTCGTCTGGCTATGTGGATCCGTGCTATGGCTTGACTACTGTAAGGCACTCTGCATGGGTCTTCCCGTAAAGACCACTCAGCAACTACACTTGGTACAAAATGCCATAGCCCAGCGACCACCAGTCGCCAAGGAGAACCCTTTCCCTTGCGTATCATTCCCTTTCTCGACTGGTTACTGATCAGGTACTGGGTGTAATTCAAGGTGGTACCTGTTTCCTTCAAAGCACTTAGCTGGCCTGGATGAATCACAAGCGGGAATTAAGATTGCTGGGGAAAAGATCAACAACCTCAGATATGCAGATGATACCACTCTAATGGCTGAAAGTGAAGAGGATCTAAAGAACCTCTTGCTCAGAGTAAAAGAGGAGAGCGCAAAAGTGGGCTTGAAGCTCAACATCAAAAAAACTAAGATCATGGCATCCGGCCCCATCACTCCTTGGCAAATAGAAGGGGAAGCCGTGGAAGTAGTGACAGACTTCACGTTCCTGGGATCCCAGATCACCACAGACTGTGACTGCAGCCATGAAATTAAAAGACGCCTGCTCCTTGGGAGGAAAGCGATGGCGAACCTAAACAGCATGATAAAAAGTAGAGACATCACCCTGCCAACAAAAGTCCACATGGTCAAAGCAATGGTATTCCCAGTAGTCATGTATGGCTGCGAGAGCTGGACTATAAGGAAGGCCGAGCGCCGAAGAATAGATTCTTTTGAACTATGGTGCTGGAGAAGACTCTTGAGAGTCCCTTGGACTGCAAGAAGAACAAATCAGTCAATCCTCAAAGAAATCAACCCTGACTGTTCCCTGGAAGGCCAGATAATGAAACTGAAGCTCAAATACTTTGGCCACCAAATGAGAAGGGAGCACTCACTGGAGAAGACCCTGATGCTGGGAAAGATTGAAGGTCAAAGAAGACGGGGACGGCAAAGGATGAGATGGTTAGGCAGTGTCATCGATGCAACGAATATGAAATTGAGCCAACTTCAGAGGACGGCGGAAGACAGGAGGGCCTGGCGGGAGATGATCCATGGGGTCGCGAAGAGTCGGACTCGACTGTGCGACTGAACAACAACAAACTTAGCGGCACTGGATCCCTGTGCCAGCAGGACCGCCTCTCCTGCAGTGTGCCGCTGCCACAGTTCCAGCCATCTGAAGAAAGGTGCCGCCCTTCAGACAGGTACGACCGGCAACTGCCCACTCACACAGACTCTGTGTAGTCACTCCCGCATCGTGGCTCTGTCTACCTGAAGCTCCTAGGAAGGCACCACACACTTCTGTCGTTTTGCAAAATGTGCAAAACAGAATTGTCCAGGAGGGTACTCTTGTACAATCTGGCCCCACTGGTAGACCTCCTGATGGCACCTGGGTTTTGCCCACTGTGTGACACAGTGTTGGACTGGATGGGTCTGAATGAAAAACACAAATAATCAAGAAACTCCAAGAGTATGGGGCCGGGTGCAGTTTGGTGCCCCTAAGGGCCAGCCCGCTCTAGGCGATCGCCTAGTCCGCCTAGTGAGTGAGCCGGCCCTGTGTACAAGTAGCAGAGCTGCCGTGTGATTCAGCTCAGGGGGTGACTTTTATTGGGGATAAAGTCTTTCTTCTGCTGCTCATTGCCTTGGGTTCAACAGATAGGCTTCCCTGCGTTCTTATTTTATTCCCCCGTTCTGCCATATCAGGCTAGCTTTTGTCTCCTCTAACTAGGAATCTTTGCAGTTAGATTCAAATGTTGTTATTTTTATGATCTGTTTACTGATTAATTGAAACTTTTTTTGTTGTCATACTTGTAATCTGCCTTGGGTCCCAGTGAGAAAGGGAGACTATCGGGGAGAATAATAGATTCAGGCGGGGGAGCCGTGTTGGTCTGGAGCAACAAAACAAAGTTTGAGTCCAGAGGGGCACCTTGAAGACCAACAAAGTTGAATTCTGGGTCTCAGCTTGCAAGTAAGCATCTGTGCGTGTGCCATAGCCAGTACAATATTGGGCAAGCGTAGCCATTTCAGAGTTTGATTCCGGTGGCACACTAAAGACCAACAAAGTTTTAATTCTGGGTCTTTCGTAGGGTTGCCAGGTCTGGGCTGGAAAATACCTGGAGACTTTGGGGGTGGATCCAGGAGAGGGCGGGGTTTGGGGGAGGGGAGGGGCCTCCGCATGGCACAATGCCACGGAGTCCACCCTTCAAAGCAGCCGTTTCCTCCAGGGGAGCTGATCTCTGTCAGCTGGAGATCAGTGGTAAAAGATCCCCAGGCCCCACCTGGAGGCTGGCAACCCTAGTCTTTCGTGGAGGCTTTTTTATAAATGTGACCAGGGGTGCCTCTGTGTTTCTCTCTTCCTGCAGCCTGCAGACTTCCCTCCGGAAGATAATGGGGACAGTTCCACAGATCTGGGTTTGAAGGAACAAGTAGGAAGCAACAGAGAAAAAGAGGGCGAAAAGAAGAGTCCAGGTCAGTGTGAACCCCCCCAACACTTAGACTTCTGGTGGGTCCTACAGCCCTAATCGGTTGCATCGTTTATTGCATGGCCCATCCCTCCATCGTATGCACTCACTCTGTGTGATCCGCCTCGGGTCCGAGTGAGAAAGGCAGACTCTGTGTGTGTGTGTGTGTGTGTGTGTGTGTGCATATGTGTGTGTGTGTGAAATGTTGTCAGGTCGCTTCTGCCTTACGGGGACGCTGTGAATTAATGTCCTCCAAAAAGTCCTGCCATTAACAGGCATTGCAAAGCGCAGCTCTTGCAAGCTCTTGTTATATGCCTGCTGCCTTCAAGTTTTCCCGGCAAAGTCGTATTATAAATAATGCAAATAAATAAATAAATGAAAGCACCGTAAATTCTACACTTGAAACTGAAGTTGCACCGTAGGTTTTAACCGAAACTGGAAGTCTAACCGTACAGTCCTGGAGAATGCTTCCCTAATGTCAGAACCCACAGCTAACAACCAAGTACACACATTCAAGAATGGTTATACTTTTATTGTAAAAGCTATAGATGCAGTAACACAGGCACTGTTAAGCAGGGCTCTTTATGTAGAAAAAGCCCAGCAGGAACGCATTAGCATAATAGGCCACACCCAACAACTAAACTCATTAGCATATTGGGCCACACCCCTGACAGCACCACTCATTAGCACATTAGGCCACACCCCCATGTTACCAGAAGTGTGGTCATCCACCCACACCCACCTTTCCCTTCTTATTCTGTTTACCTTGTTTGTTGTCAAAACCCAGGGCTTTTTTTTGCAGCAGGGACTCCTTTGCATGTTAGGCCACACCCCCTAATTGTAGCCAATCCTAATGAGTTTCTGCTGATGGGTGTGGCCTATTATGCTAATGAGTTCCTGCTGGGCGTGGCCAACTTAGGAGCCAGCCGGAACTCCGTTCCTGTGCGTTCCTGCCCCAAAAATAGCCCTGCTAAGAATGGCTGTGACCCATAGAGCCTAATAGGATATAGGGCATTCATATGCACCACCACCACCCCCAGCGTGGGCCAATTAGGTCCCCTCCCGCGTGTGGGATAACTTAGGAAACCGTTAGGTGACTAAAGCTGGGAATTAGGAATCTCTCCCTGGATAGACCCGAGTGGGATTCTGAGAGGAGATGAGCCTTGCAGTCCTCTGCGAGCCCACCGACCCAGGCGTCGCCTTGCCAAAGCTGAGACCTTTTGACATCTTATCGCATTTAAAGCTTTTTAATTTGTTGTTGTTCAGTCGCACAGTCGAGTCTGACTCTCCGCGACCCCACGGACCAGATCATGCCAGTTTCAACCCCATGGACAGTATCAAAAAAGCTTTTTAATGCAAAACAACTAATATTTGGAAATACTGAATAAATAAAATAGAAACTAAGGTGGAGTTTTGCAAGTGAAGGAGAAGCAGCCCGGCTCTTCCCTTCCTGCTTCCCTAGGTTTCCGTTCTAGTACAATTTTTTCCCCCACCCTGATTTTTCCCCCTGCACCTTCATTCCAGATGGTGAAATGCTGTGGCGGGGGGCGGGGCTCTCTGTTTGGTGGTGGGTCCTTGGCCTGGGAAACTGAATTCTTTTTTTAGCCTCTCTTCTTCTACCAGGAGGCTAGACTAAATATTTACTATGTGACTGTGTGGGCACGCACACAAACATGAAGACAAAGCCTCTCACCTGTGTATTCCCCCCCACCCCCAGCCCTGCCTATTGGTATTTCTCTGGACTGAAGAGAGGTCCAGGCATGCTGCACCCACCGCCTGCCCCCGTGGCAAATCCAGAAAGGTGATCGACACCTGGGTCCTAAGTCTGGGGATGCCATTAACTCCAGGTGGGACCAGGGGATCTCCTGGAATTCCAGCTCATCTCCAGTCGATACATATCAGCAGGGCTATTTTGGGGCAGGAACGCACAGGAACAGAATTCCGGCTGGCTCCCAAGTTGGCCACGCCCAGCAGGAACTCATTAGCATAGTAGGCCACACCCAACAGCAGGAACTCATTCGGATTGGCTACATTCGGGGTGTGTGGCCTAACATGCAAAGGAGTTCCTGCTCTAAAAAAAAGGCCCTGGGTTTTGACCACAAACAAGGTAAACAGAATAAGCAGCAAAAGTTGGGTGTGGCTGGATAACCACACTTCTGGTAACATGGGGGTGTGGCCTAATGTGCTAATGAGCTGTGCTGTCAGGGGTGTGGCCTATTATGCTAATGAGTTCCTGCTGTGCTTTTTCTACAAAAAGAACCCTGCATATCAGTTCCACCGGAGAAAATGGGTGCTTTGGAGGGGGCACTCTAGGGCACAGTCCCCCACTGAAGTCCCCCTGTCCTCCCCAAGCTCCACCCCCAAATCAGGACCTGGCAACCCAACCTGTGCCGAGGGGGGACCTGGCAACCCTACCGAAAGCCCAGCCTTGTGGTGCGGAATAGGGCTGCCTGCTCCCCAGTCCGGGCATGGGTTTCCCTGCTTCTGCAGGCTTCGCCCCGCGGCCTGGCTGGCGTGGGGGAAACCGTGCCTGCAAATGCCCCCAAACATGGGACAGTGATGTCACCCGGAAGTGAGGCCATCGCGGCACCGACATCGCATGGCGATGCTCTATGTTTTGGGCAAAACTCTGTGGTAAATTTCAGCTCAAAACCATCGCTTTGCCCAAAATCTAGAGCAGTGGTGGCGAACCTTTTAGAGACCGAGTGCCCAAACTGCGACCCAAAACCCACTTATTTATCGCAAAGTGCCAACACGGCCATTTAACCTGAATCCTGAGGTTTTACTTTAGAAAAAACAACTCATACGTTAAATTGATCCAAACAAAGTAAGGAAAGCGATCCCAAATGCGACACTTTAATGATGGTCTGGGCCTGGCTGGGGCGATGGCACGCGTGCCCACAGAGAGGGCTCTGAGTGCCACCTCTGGCACCCGTGCCGCAGGTTCGCCACCACTGTCTTATACTGTCTATTTGCACTGTTTTATGTCATGTAATCTGCTCCAGGTATAAATGGATAAAAAATATTACTTGAATGTCTTAATTTGGTACTACAAGCTTGACTGTGGGAAGATTCTTTTATGAAGGAATTGTATATAAGCGAAATATAGTTATGTATAAGGATAAAATAATAAAAAAGTGTTTAAAAAAAGATTTGGAATTAGCAAAAAGCACTTTTAACAGACTATTTCAGAAGGGATGGTTACATCTCCTATCCGTGTTTTTGGGTGTCTGTTTCACTGCAACTGGCAGACAAACCCACACTTCAGCAGGCCGCTCACTTCCCCTGGTGATCTCCATTTTTACCTTGATCCCTAAAATCTCCCTTTTTCCTCCCCCCCCCCCACAGCCTCCTGGCACTCATCCAGCTCTCTCAACCCAGAGAGTGAGACCAGCAAAGTCCGGAACAAACTCCGGAAGTTTCTTCTGAGGCGGCCGACTCTTCAGTCCCTGAGAGAAAAAGGCTACATCAAAGGTACCTCTCTCCTGGGAGGCGAAGCGTCTCGAAAAACCTGGCCTGGTGTTGTCTCTGCCAGACTCCGAGCCTAAAAATTCATATTAGTTCCCGGCAGTCAGCTGTGGTTTCAGTGCTCAGAACTCTCTTCCCAGGTGCAGGGCCCCATTCGCGTCAGGACTGTGGCTTGGGGGAGGGGGGCTCCATCCAGGGCCGGCCCCAGCTTATTTTGCACCCTAGGCGAGGATCCCTTCTGGTCCTCCCTCAGGTGCCGCCGGCAGCCAGAGGATTTCCGCACCAACTGACCCACTTTGCCCGGCTGCTGCCTCGCCCAGCTACCCAGCGCCTTTCCCGGCCCCTGCCGGCGGAGCCTCCCACAGGTTGGCAGGTCGCAGTAATGGGCTGCACTGGGTAGGGGGGCTTTTGGCGGGTGGTGGTGGCGGGTGCAGTTTGGCACCCCTAAGGGCCTGCGCGGTCTAGGCGAATGCCTAGTTTGCCTAGTGAGCGAGCCGGCCCTGGCTCCGTCCCTTCTCTCCCCGTTCAGATTTCCCAACCTGAAGCAGCCCAGGCAAGGATGCCCTTTGCCCTGTCGAAGAAACTGGCATGGAAGGTGCAGCCTGTCAGTATACCTCAGTTTCCCCAAAGGGGCCCATAACACTCTTCCAGGTTACTTCAGGTCAAGACAATGGCATGGCATGGCGGGGGGTGGGGGGGCGGCTTATGCTCCCGGTCTCTAGGAGCGCCCTGGGTCCTCGTCCAAATCGGCCCTCACATGCCAGGGAATTAAGTTCTCAGCACAGAAGTAGCAACCTATAGCTGGTCACGTGGTCCTGGGGAGGACGGGAGGAGGCCCTGATGTGCCATTTAGGCCTTCAGTAGCGTATTTGGTTTTCTGAAAACTATTTTTAAAAAAGCTAATCTTACTAAATGTTTCATGTTTGTTTCTGAGTCTGTGGCTGTGTGCGGCACGCTTTCAGCACAGTGGCCAGGAGGTATCCATGGAACGCAGCTGAGAGAGCGGAGCACAAACCGCTTCTGGCCAGACCGCTTTGAATTGTGTGTGTATGTGTGTTCTTTGTTGTTTAGATCAGGTGTTTGGGTGCCCTCTACAAACTCTGTGTGAACGTGAGAAAACCACTGTGCCTCAGTTTGTCCGGATGTGCATCCGCACCGTAGAAAACAGAGGTATGCCAACACTGTGTGCGTGTCCCCCCCCCCATCCCATGCTAATGTCTGGCCTCTCCTATGAGCAGAACTTTGGGTACTAAGCAGGGGTCATTTCGTAGAAAAAGAGGTGCAGGAGCTCATTAGCATAACTTATTTGCATATGCCACACCCCCTGACATCACCGGAAGTGTGTCAGAAGGCAATACCCACCACTCAGGCTCCACTGGACTATTTTGGATTGCTAGCTATTGGAGGAGGGGAGGAATGTGCAGATCTATCCTTGCAGAGGAGGGAGAGCTTGTACCTGAATAAAACTGGGTCTTAAAGCTGCCACTGGACTGTTTTGAACCAGGGGGAGTGCTGCAACTTACCTGGCTGCTTCTTGCTCTGACTGAGGGCTGCTGGGAGCAGGGGGTGGGGCTTGTTGCATGTGCCCACTCCTGTGCGCTCCTGTAGGAAATGACCCCTGGTACTAAGTGCTAAAAATAAGTTGAATTCTGTACCCAGAACATCAATCCAAGTTCTGAATTCAGAATTTGTTTAGCAATCAGAATCTACAGCTCTATCCTTCTGGGCACATGGATGAATGTCGTTTTTCCTCCCCCAGGTTTGGATATTGATGGGCTGTACCGGGTAAGCGGAAATCTGGCTACGATACAGAAACTGCGCTATAAAGTTGACCACGGTAAGGGGTTGCTCAGTTTTCGCTAAAAGGGGCCATGGCTCAGTGCTAGACCTCACTCTTGGCATTTGTGTTGCCAGATATGTCCTCAGTGTGGTGTCTTGGCGTCATGCAGTAAAGCATTTCAGAGGGGAGCCGTGTCAGTCTGCAGTAAAACAGTAAAGGATGCAACAGTACCATGTATATCATAATCGGTACCATGTATATTTAATCGGCTTGGTAGAGCAGAAGAGAAATGGCTTGTGTCAGTCTGCAGTAAAACAGTAAAGGATGCAACAGTACCATGTATATCATAATCGGTACCATGTATATTTAATCGGCTTGGTAGAGCAGAAGAGAAATGG